GAAAAAAAAAAAAAAAAAAAAAAAAAAAAAAAAAAAAAAAAAGAAAATGTTAGTCCTGTAAGGTGAAGCTGCTGTACTCTGGTTACTGCATTTCAGGAAATAAATGGAATGGAGAATATCTAGAAATGGATAACTTAAATGATCAAAGCAGTGGAACACTTTTCATATAAAGGGCAGACTGAAAGATTAGTATATTTCAGCCAGAAAGTATAGTGAGTGAGAGGGAATATGATCAAGGACTAAAATTAAGGTAGAAGTGAAAGGATTGCAGATTTATCACTAGATTATTATATAGTAAAACTAGGGTATCTACTTTTGTTACATGAAAGAGGTAGATTTGGAAGTGTTATTTTATATAGCAAATATAAAATGTTTGCAACTCGTTTTTCCCAAGAGATAATAAATCTTAAACATGAATAACCTTGAAATGCGATATTATTGTGAGAAATTAGAATGTTTTGAGGTAGAGAACATCCCGGGCCTTTGGAGTTGATATGATATGAATAGGCAAGGCTGATTCACAGAGCCATTCCTTACCTACTGCTGCACAAGGCAAAACATTGGGGCTATATGAACAATTTTTTTTTTAATATTATGATAGCTTTTCTTATTGTGAATGAAGCCTAATGTATTCTGTATAGCCCTGTACCCCTCTATTAGTGTTAGAAAGGGTTTTCAATATATTGTGGGCTGGAGTTCTTTTGGAATGTCAGAAATTGAAGATTTGTGTTTGTTGCATTCTTTCTTTCAGACTTTGATATAGATTCCCTTGGGGCTGCTTTTACTCAAAATCCAAAGAATGTTAGTATGAAATATAAACTCTTTTTTTTTTTGTTTGTCCTCTTCTGCAGAAATATTTTGTCATCCCTGTTATTTCCTCAGCAGTCCAGTAGCAAGGAACTGGAATAGGTTTAATTTCCTTTTGCATTCTTTTCCCAATCCTTTTCCATGTGGAGACCTGTTGATATTTTAGACAAAAGAGATTCTTGCAGATGGTTAGCTGAAATAGTTAGCTCTTTTCAATACGTGGTTGTTTTTAAAGGAAGGCAAGGGACTGTAGTTAGTTTTTGTTGTAAATTTTGGTGGCTTTAAAATATTGAGGCATAGGGTTATTAGGTAGTTTATAATGCCTCTTTTATATTTGGGGGGTTTTTTTGTTTTTTTTTTTAAAGATGACCGGTAAGGGGATCTTAAATCTTGACTTGGTGTTGTCAGCACCACGCTCTCCCAAGTGAGCTAACTAGCCATCCCTATATGGGATCCGAACCTGCAGTCTTGGTGTTATCAGCACCACACTCTCCTGAGTGAGCCACAGGCTGGCCCTATATTTGGTCTTTATTAACCTTCACAAGATAACTCACAATTTTAAAAAGTTCTTATTTTCGAACAGGTGATAAAAACTCATGGTACAAAATGCAAAAAGTACAGAAAGATACACATTGAGAAATAAGTAATCTCTCACCCTGTTGCCAGTCACCTGGTTCCCCTCCTCTTAGGCAAACCTTATTACGTTTCTTTTCTATATTTGTTCATAGATACCATAGGATTATACAAATGTATATGTGTGTGTATGTTTTGTTTTGTTACACAAATGGTACCTTATATATACATCTTGCTTTTTTTTTTCACTTACAGTAAATTTTGGTCATTGGGTAGTATATTAGTCTGTTTCTGTTGCTTATAACAAAATATTTGGAACTGGTGATTTGTAAGAAAATGAAACGTATTGCTTACAGTTTCAGAGGCTGAGAAGTCCAAAGTCCAGGGAAAATATCTGGTGTGAGCTTTCTTTGGTGGTGGTTTCAGTGATGCAGGGCATCACATTGCAAAATGGCAGAGCAGGGAGAAAGAGATTCTCATGGGCTCTCCTTTTAAAGCCCTCAGAACCACGCCCCTGACCATCATTATTAATCCATTCTCTGTGGCACGGTCCTACAGTCCAATCATCTCTTCAAGGCCCTATCTTTCATTTACCGTAATAGGACTTTCCATCCTCTTAACATTGTCACAGTGGGGACCAAGCCTCTAACACAGTAAACTTTTGGGAGGACACAATTCAATCCATAATATGTAGTGAACAATCTAACCTTTTTTAACAGCTACATATTTTCTGGATGACCAAAATTTATTTAACTAGTCCCTGTTGGGTTGTTTCAGTCTTTTGCTATTATAAATAATACTTCTGTGAATTTCCTTATAGATATGTTGTTTCTTTCTCTCTCTCACACACACAGACATGCCCAATTACTTTCAATATAAAACCTATTTCTGGGCCAGCCTGTGGCTCACTTGGGAGAGTGCGGTGCTGATAACACCAAGGCTACGGGTTCGGATCCCTATATAGGGATGGCCAGTTAGCTCACTTGGGAGAGCATGGTGCTGACAACACCAAGTCAAGGGTTAGGATCCCCTTACTGGTCATCTTTAAAAAAAAAAAAAAAAAAAAACTCCTATTTCTACCACGCTACATGGAATATTCAGAAAAATACTAGCAGATCTTAGTGTTTTATTTCCTGTATTATAATAAAAAAATAATACCATAATGATGCATCTGAGTATAATTTTCTGGTACTTGAACATGTAAAATGCATTATAAGAATTTCAGTTTGTTTTTTTATTCTCTCATCTTTGCATTGAAGATTTTGGTGCCTCTTGTTTTGCTACGACAAATGCTTTTGGAGTTGACAAGACGTGGTCAAGAACCTCTGAGTGCACTGCTGCAGTTTGGTGTGACATATCTGGAGGACAATGCAGCAGAGTATATCATTCAGCAAGGTGGCTGGGTATGAGCTGCTTTTATTTATTTATTTATTTTCTGAAAAATTAAGCCCTTTGTTGTTTTAACAGTGTAGATTTATATCAGTATTGGATGACAATCAATGGGAATGTTGTTAATATAGTTTAAGTTAAGCTACTAAGATTTTACTTACAGTAAATTGGTATGTGCTACTTATAAAATGTTTTGTAATTAAGAACTATTTAAACTAACAGAAAATACATGAGACAAGCAATAATAAAATGAACACCTATATATCTACTGTCCCAGTCTAAAAGAACACAGCTAACACTTTTGAATCTCCTTATATTTCCCTCCTAGATTTTGACATGTGCCTATGTACATCATAAGGGTAATTCCTATCTGAATTTTTTTATTATAATTTAAACATGTCTGTATATATCCCTAGACAATATATTATTTTGTATGTTTTGAAATTTATGTAAATAGTATTGTACATACTTTATATATCTACACAATGCAATACCAAAACTCAGCCATTAAATCAACCTAGGTCATGCAGTCTCAGTGGGGAATATATCAAGGGTGAAAATTGCACCTATTTAGTATTACAAACGTTGTTATTATAAATATTCTTAAACATATGTGGAAGAGTTTCTGTGGATACATAGTAGAATTTCTGGGTCATAGAGTATAGACATGTTCTAATTCACAAAATAATGTCGCAGTGTTTTTCAAATTGGTTTTCCAGTTTACAGACCATTGGCTATATATTAATTTTTGTTGTTCTACATCTTCCCCAACACTTAGTGTTGTCAGATTTATAAATTTTTAAAATCATTTATTAAAATAAGTTTATTTTGGAACAATTTTTTAAAAATGCAAGGTAATACAGAGTTCCCCCATATACTCTTCACCCAGTTTCCTCTAGTGTTAACATTTTACAAAACTGTGGTACTTTTGTCAAAACTAAGAGATTTTTATTTCTGTTTACTATTACATTAAATAAACTAAACTCCAGACTTTATATGAATTTTACCAATTTTCCAGCAATGTCTTTTTTCTGTCCCAGGATCTAATCCAGGATACCACACTGTATTTAGAGACATAATAATTTTTAATTAATAATGGGTATAATATGATAGCTCCCTGTGGATTTAATTTGCATTTCTGTAAGCACTAAGGAGCTTTAGCCTCTTTATGAGCCATTCGTGTTTCTGCTTCTGTGGAGTACCTTGGCTTCATGTCATTTGCCCACTTCTCTATTGAATTGTTTTCTTTGTGGTAGTTCTTTATATATTTTGAGATTAGTCTTTCCTTCTTTATATGCAAATATACTCTCCCAGTCTGTGTGGCTTTTCTTTTTACCTTTTAGGTTCTGGATCAGTAATTATAAATCTACATATAGTTTATGAATCTTGTTCTTTATAGTTTATGCTTTTTTTCTTCTTAAGAAAGTTTTTTTTTAATCTCATGATCATAAAGATATTCTCTTATATTACTTCCTAAAACTTTATGATTTTTCTTTTTGCATTTAATCTACCTGGAATTTTTTATATGGTTTGAGGTAGGGATCTAGTTTGCAGATTATAAGGTGTCCCAGCACCATTTATTGATTGGTCTTTCCTTAACTAACTCAAGTTTCCATATGTGTGTGTGTTTATCTTAGCTGTCTTTTCCATTCCTTTGGCCTGTTGGTCACTCTCTATGCCAAAACTGCACTGTCTTAATTACTATAACTTTTGCTTTTTTCCTGGCTGGTCTGAAGGTAGTGAGTTATCTCAGTTGATTGTTCACAGTCATGTGCAGATCAAACTCCTTGTACTCTTTCTCCCCTTCTCACTGAAGAATTTCCATTTTATTATTCAGGATGTCATATCTGAAATGGCTCTTTGTTTTTCAATATAAACTTTAGGATTTTGTTATCAAACTCAAGAAATTTTTATTATAATTATATTGAACCTGTAATTTTCAGGATAACTGACATCTTACGATATTGAGTCTTCCCGTTTATCAGAATAGTATATCCCCTCATTTATTTATTTATTTATTTTCCTTTTTTTGTCTTTTTTTTTTTCCATGACCGGCAACGGATCGCAACCCTCAGTGTCGCGCCCATACCGGACTGGGACCGGCAACGGGATCGCAACCCTCGGTGTTGCCCCCGTGTTGCCCCCGCACCTCGCTCAGCCAGTGAGCGGCAACCGGTCTGTATGTGGGATCCGAACCCTCGGCGGGAGCGCTGCCGCGCTTCCCAAGCGGCACACTGTAGCAGTGCGCCACTGGGCCGGCCCCTCCCTCATTTATTTAAATCTTTAAAAAAAAGCCACAAAAGATTATTTTAGATTTTTTTTCATAGAAATCTTATACATACCTTGTTAAATATGTTCCTAAGACCTTTTTTTTTTTTCTTGCTGATGTATGGAAATGCTTTCTTATGTAAGAAAGACTTTTCTATATTGATTTTACATCCAGCGATTTTATTAAACTCTTATTGATTCTGATTATTTATCTCTGGGTTCCTTTGGGTTTTCTACATAGACCGTCACACCATTTGTAAATAATGACTTTTTTTTTCCTTTATGGGTCTTAACTCTTTAAAAAAATTATTGCGATAGTAGAATTGGTGTTAACCATTATCCTTGCCTTTTTCCTGATGTTAAAACAAATGCTTTTAATTGTTTCAATCATTTAGTTGGATCAATCGAGTTGGGGAGAGGGTTTCCTCTTTCTTATACTCTGGAATGAATAGTTTGTATAAGATCCAAATTATTTTTGTCTTGCTTCCTATAACTTGCCTGTAAAACTATCTGGTATTTTCATTGAGGGAATGTTTCTGGCTTTTCTTGACAACTTTTGATCACTTTTCTAGGATATTATCCTTAAATTTTCAGGTTTGTTGGCATAGAGCTGTTCCTCGTACCCTTTTATTTTGGCGGGGAGGCAACAGTGGATTTTTAGTTTTTAGTTCTTTAACTTACTTTTTAAAAAAACTTTTTTGGAGAACTTTGAACACATACAAAAATAGAAAGGATATTATAATGAATGTATATGACTTAAACTCCAGTAACCATTAATTTGTTGCCAATCATGATTCATTAATACCCTAATCACAGCCCCTCTTAATATTATTTTGAGACTAAATCCAGACATTATATAATTTTTTTTTTTTTTTAAAGATGACCGGTAAGGGGATCTTAACCCTTGACTTGGTGTTGTCAGCACCACGCTCAGCCAGTGAGCGAACCGGCCATCCCTATGTGGGATCCGAACCCGGGGCCCTGGTGTTATCAGCACTGCACTCTCCCGAGTGAGCCACAGGCCGGCCCTATATAATTTTTTCTATAAAAATTTCAGTATGTATCTACAAAAATTAAAGGTTCTCTTTTTATTTTAACATAATCATAACACAATACCATAATCACAACAAAAAATAATTTCTCTGTATCGTCAAATATCCTTTCTCCATTCAGATTTCTGAATGTCTCAAAAATATTCTCTCTTTCAATCTCTGCAACATATGGAGCCATATCTCTCACTTTTCATTTCTAGTATTATTTATTTCTTCTCTCTTTTGTTTTAATTTTTTACAATTGGTGTATAATTTGTATACAATAAAAATGCACATAATCCTAAATGTTTAGTATGCTGAGTTTTGATAGTTGTGTACATCTGTAGGCACTATCCGATACAAGACAGAGAACGTTTCCATTAACTTTCATTTCTATTTATTTATCAAATCTATCCTTTTGTATAATTTCTGCTTTTATCTCTACCTCCCTTATTCTGTTTTCCTTAGGTTAACCAGTTTTCTCTAACTTCTTTTGATGATTGTTTAGCTCTTTAATTTTCAGCCTGTTTTTCTATCATTAGTATTTAAGGCTATAAATTTTCTTTAAATTACTGCTTTAGCTACATCTCATAAATTTTTGGTAATGTAATTTTATTATTATTTGATTTTGTTCAGTTATTTAAAATTTTTTATTATATATTCTTAGACTCTTGAATTATTTAGAAATGTATTTTTAAATTTCTAATGTTTATAGCTTTAAAATTGTTTTCTTATCAATTTCTTTTTTTTTTTTTTCCTTTTTGTCTTTTTTTCGTGACCGGCAACGGATCGCAACCCTCAGTGTTGCACCCGTACCGGACCGGGACCGGCAACGGGATCGCAACCCTCGGTGTTGCGCCCGCACCTCGTTCAGCCAGTGAGCGGCTGGTCTGTATGTGGGATCCGAACCCTCGGCGGGAGCGCCGCCGCACTCCCAAGCGGCGCATTGTAGCAGTGTGCCGCCGGGCCAGCCCTTCTTATCAATTTCTAATTCAATTACATTTCATCAGAATGCATGGTCATCATGGCATTGAAACCCAATTCATGGTCTAGTTCATGGTCAAATTATGTATATATATATATATATTTTTTTTTTTTTCCATGAACACTTTAGAAGAAGGTATATTCTCTAATTGTTGATGAAGTGTTCTATATGTGTCCATTGACATTCAATTAATCTTGATAATTATAGTTTAAATTTTTTGTGTCATTACCAATTTTTTGCCTAGTTGATTTATTATTTACTAACAGAGGTATGCTCAAATCTGTGGTATGGTAGATTTCCAGTTTTCCTTTTAGTTCAGTCTATTTGGGGTATATGTATTCTCAGGTTATTTTGTTAGGTGACTACCAGTTTCAATTATTGAATCTTCTTGGTGAATTGAACCTTTTGTCATTATAGTTGTGATGTTTGTCCCTAAAAATGTTTTTTTTGTGGGTTTTTTTTTTTTTTTTGTCTTAAAGTCTATTCTTTAAAATATATCAGTATATCCATTCCAACATGTGTCTCTATATTTTATTTTATCTATTTACTTCAACTTGTACCAAGCAATCATTTATCACTCAACAATTTATTGAATGCCTATTATGTACCATGCTCTGTTCTAGATTCTTAGTAGACAGGCATGAATGGAAAAAATCCTTAACTTAAAGGAATTTACATTCTAATGGAGGGAGACTGACAAACAATTAAAATATGTAGTATATCAGGTGGT